AGTTTCCATTTGATGTAGTAGATTTAGTTTACAAATATAATCTCCGTATCAAATTGAAGTTAATAGTGAAAAAAATTATTAAGAGGGAAGAAAGTTCGCCATTATTAAAAGTGAAGTTAACCGTCCACCACAAAGCAATAAAATGGCAATGGAATGACAAAGAAAAAAGCAATAAAATGGAAATAAACAAGCAATAAAAAAAAAAATTTGAATTTCAAAGGCCCAAATAAGTTCCACTTCTCAGACAACTTAAGAAGATGACTATTGCATGCTACTAAGTATAAGCCAACTGCAAGCAATGACTTCACCTCCAGCTCATAAATGTCCACCTTCAAAATCCTACCCTTGTTAAAAAAACTCAACCAAAGAACATTTGTATAATGTATAACAGCAACTATTAGAATACTTGCTTCTTCTGGGTTCACCGTTAACATTGGCAAAGAGTTCTTTTAAAATTACATCAATAACAGATACACAACTTATTCACAGTAAATAACCAACTAATGTTTTTCAGACTAGAGACCTTATCAGTTTAAGTGAATTCATTGAAGTCCTCCTGACATATGAAAAAGGAAAGAAAAAAAAAAAATTCAATTTCATAAGAATATGAACCAAAACAGGTGAGTAAACCATATACCCACAACATCAAATTCTTTAAATGGGAGCTTCAACTTGATGGGATGTAGTTGAAGATGTACCATATACTTTTCAAGGCATGTATATGAATATGACTACAGGAACAGAAAATGTGACATGGAGAACAAAGTTACAGCAGAAACTGAAATCTCTCAACACATTTGTTGGCAAAACTTCTCAAATGGCTAATTTCTATTGAATTTTTTGAGTGAAACTATACCTTAATCTAACTGATTGTCCATTTCTTTTAAGGGAGCATATCTATGTAAAACTTAATAGCAACATTTACTTTTCATTGGATGAACGAGCCTGACCTGTATCCATAACACACACTGTAGGCTCTAATTTCTGTATCCATAACACACTGTAGGCTCTAATTTTTTAAGGCATTATGGACCAACAAATATATTTCTTTGTTCTATCCATGTATTCTATTTGCAATCTTCCATAAACAGATTCCAAGAATGTTCTCCGAGCAATTTACCAATTAACGCGCAAGAATACAATTAATATCGCCTCTCCTTTGGGTTGCACATCAAATGTCAATCAACAAAATTCATAAAAAAGTTTATGACTCTGAAAAGTGTTTATACCCAAATGAACAGCCAATAACCATCGGACACGTGGACCAATTTATAGTTATGGAAGCCTTCGGCACCTAGCTACAGTTCGTTCCTACCGATTGCATGATTAGGGCAACTCCAGCGCAAGGGGACACGTGGCAGTCCCACAATTGGAGTCCACAATCCCACATCGAAATTCTAAACAATTTGCACACCTCCCAAGGCCTATAAAAGAGGACAACTATCCCAACTAGGAGGTAATCAATCAAAACTTACAGCACACTGCCTATTGATCTATAGTTCAATCTTACCAAATCCGTACTTACTTAAGCATCGGAGAGCCTTCGGCCGGTACCATACCGGTGCCCTAGGTCTTACCGAGTGTTTGCTATCTTGCAGATCGAACGCGCTACCGAGGCCTAGAGCATACTGAAGGCCCAACATCTCTACGTTGCGCAGGAAAGTGCCGAACCATTTTTCTGCGTCAAAAGTTTGGCGCCGTCTATGGGAAACGATAAGAATCAACCTACAATTCCTAAAAAAATACATGGGAACCACTTCAGGACAAACGTTCTTACCGGAGGACGGACTACCGTACGGTATGCAAAGCAGAGCAAGCCCCGCGCTGCACCCTAGCACTCCATTCGGTAATCCTCCGGCGCTTCAGACTACGGTCGAAGCGGAGCTTCTGGCTCAAATGATTTCCCTTCGGAAGGAAATGGCCAAGCTCCAAGAACATAACAACCTCCTCTCGTCCAAAGTAGACGAAACTCAACGACTGCTTAATCAGTAGGAAACACAGAATATTCAGTATACAGAACCTTCTCAGAGTCTGCAGACCCCCAGTCGGCAGAAGAAAGGGAAGAAGGGGGCAAAGGCTCCTACGCCTTCCAAACAGCTGGTAGTCCAGGCCCCACGGGACCAGCCTCACGTACCGAAGAAGGTCTACACCGACTATCGCCATTGGATCAACGACAAGGATGCCGAACGGCAAAGGTCCCCAATCAGAATCAATGCTCGCCTACGGGACTCACGGATGAGGGTCCTTGGAGACAAATCACTCCTCAGGAAAGTCCGAGGGTTGGAATCAGAGGTAGAATCTGACGACGAGTATGCCCCGTCCAAGGGCACCGAATCAAACTACCGATCGGAAACTCCCACAGAGTATACGAAGGCGAGGCCACCAAGTCCGAGGAGAACTTCAGAAGACTTCAGTTCTGAGGAGGTCCCAAGCCGAGACCCCGCTATCCGTCTGCTCTTCCAGAGAGTTCAGAAGATGGAAGATGACCGAACCCGATCCCAGGAGCTTGAGTAGGGGAAACTTCGGCCAGGACCCTTTACCGAGCGCATCAAGAAGTCCAGACTGGACAGGGAGGTACAGTCGTTGCGTATACCGTTTTACATCGGCGTGAAAGACCCCTTGACGCACCTTCACTCCTTCCAATCGGCGGTTGGATGCAAGGGCTTCGGCGATGAGGGGCAATGCCTGTTGTTCCCATCCTCCCTTACCGGAGCTGCTTTGAACTGGTTCTACCGTATTGAACCAGGAACGGTAGACTCCTTTGACGAGCTGAAGCAGATTTTTCTGAATCACTTCATGATCCAGACAGACTGTCTGTACTCTGCCGACGATCTGTACACGGTTCGGCAGGGAGAAGACGAACCCCTACGGGAATACGCTACGCGCTTCAGTCATGAGTATTCGAGATGTCTGGAAACGGATGATAGGGCAGCTGACGGCGCCTTCAAGAGTGGCCTTCGGTCCTCGCACTTTCGGTACCTTGTGCACAGTAGCAACTGGTGCACGTATGACGAACTGATGAAGCAGGCGGCAGTCCAAGCCAAGGCCGAATATTTCAACTCCAAGCCCAGGCCTTAGGCTCGGCAGGAGGAATCGGCACTCAAGAACTATCCTGGCCGGCATGACGACTTTTCGGCAGGTCACAAGCGAAAGGACGACCGGGATAACTGGCAGGGTGGCTCAAAGAAAGGGCGTGGGAAATACGGTCGCAATGACCACCGAGCGCCACTGTCGAATCAAAACCGTGCCCAGGAAGTCTTCACCATGTTGAACACAAGATATGAGGCCGTACTGATGAATGAGCACAAAAAAATCCCGAAACCTAACAACCGGAAGCCCAATCGGCAGGATAATCGGGATACCAGCAAATTCTGCCGATACCACCAACAGAACAGCCACAACACCGAAGACTGCATTAGCCTGAGGAAGATCGTTGAACGGCTGATTCGGGAGGGAAAGCTGGACCAATACATCGCCAGGCCGCGGCAGGCACCCGCCCTAAACAGATCAACATGATCAGCACCATCATCGGAGGCCCCACTCTGGTAGGACCCTCTAACCGATCAATGAAGCAATATGTGCATGCCGCTCACTACCCTCAAGTTTTCGGAATAGAAGACGATCGGTACCGTAAGATTCTGAAGGTGGGTTGGGAACCCATCACATTTGGCGAAGAAGAGGAAGAAGGGATCATTTACCCCCACGATAACCCGATGATCATTCAGGCCGAGATCGCCGACTACGATGTAGGTCGGGTACTGATCGACACCGGGAGTTTGGTAAATGTGATTTTTGTCGATGCATTCAAAGGTCTGGGAATTGCCGACAACATGGTCAATCGGCAGATAACGCCTCTACTCAATTTTTCTGGGGATCTGGTCCAGCCAGTCGGCAGTATCAGTCTGCCCATCGCCTTCGGCATTGCCCTTAAAAAAAAAAAGACCTACGACCAATTCCTCATCGTCGACTGCCCAACAGCATACAACGTCATCGTAGGATGAACGGCACTTACCAGGGTCAAAGCCCACTTGTCCCCTCACATGTTGCTGATGAAATTCCCTACCCGCAACGGTACTGGCGTTATCCGAGGGGACTAGCTCAGCACACGGACGTGCTATGCAACTGACCTTAAATCGGTAGCTTGCAAACCTCCAATAGAAGCCCTGTCTGTGCAGGAACTACCGAATGGTAGCGGGCCTATAGACGACCCAAGAGAAGAAATGCCAACGCCGATAGCGCAGCCTGCGGAAGAACTCGAAACGATAATCCTGGATAAGGAATTTCCTGATCGGTGGGTAAAGATCGGCACCACCCTAGATCCTGACCTACGAGCGCAATTCATTAACTTCTTGCGGCAACAGGTGGAGGTCTTCGCTTGGTCTTACGATGACATGCCTGGCATATCACCTGACGTCATCAGCCACAAGCTCAGCATCTCCCCCGCCCATAAACCGGTCAGACAGAAGGGCCGTTCGTATGATGCCGAACGGTATGAGGCCATGCGTACCGAGGTGGACAAGCTAAAAGCCATCGGCTTTATCAGGGAAGCTACGTACCCTGTCTGGCTTGCCAACTCGGTCATGGTTCAGAAGGCCAAAGAGGGATGGCGAATGTGTCAGGACTATACCGACCTGAACAAGGCCTGTCCAAAGGACAGCTTCCCATTGCCGAGGATCGACCAGTTCGTTGACGCAACTGCTGGACACGAGCTGCTCAGCTTCATGGACGCCTATTCAAGGTACAACCAGATTTTCATGGACCCTGCCGATAGCGAGCATACGGCATTTATCACCGACCGCGGGTTGTACTGCTACAACGTCATGCCTTTCGGCCCGAAGAATGCGGGGGCGACGTACCAACGGCTCGTCAATCGAATTTTTGCAGAACATATTGGCGGCATTATGGAGGTGTATGTCGACGATATGTTGGTGAAAAGCCGAACGGCAGGGGGGCACTTGGAAAACTTGGCCCTCATGTTCGGTATACGCAAGTAATACCGAATGAGGTTGAACCCAACGAAGTGCGCCTTTGCTGTATCTTTTGGGAAGTTCCTCGGATTCATGATCAGCCAAAGAGGAATCGAGGCCAATCCCGAGAAAATCAAAGCCATAATCGACATGGAGACGCCGAGGACACAGAAGGACATCCAAAGCCTTACCGGACGCGTCGCAGCCTTGACGCGTTTCATCTCCAAGGCTACCGATAAATGTGTACCGTTCTTCAAAGCCTTGAAAGGGGGAAAACACCATATCGCATGGACTCCCGAATGCGACCAAGCATTTCAAGACTTGAAGAACTACATGAGCAAGGCACCACTGTTGTCAAAATCGCTTCCCGGAGAAATTCTCCTCCTCTACCTTTCGGTATCAAGTACTGCCGTCAGCTCGGTATTGATACGGAAGCCAAAGAAGGCAGATCTACCAATCTTTTATGTCAGCAAGGCCCTTCAGAGCGTGGAACTTCGGTGCCCACCCTTGGAACAGCTAGCACTAGCCCTTGTTGTGTCGGTAGGTACTTCAAAAGCCAGAAACATCCGGCATATTGGTCAAATGGGCGATCGAGCTGGGAGAATTTGACATACAGTTCAAGCCAAGGCCTGCAGAGAAGGGTCAGGCCGTTGCCGACTTCATCTCCGAGCTCACACCTGCACCATTGGAAGCATGTTCTCCGAACGCTGTTATTACAGAACCGGGGAAAACGGATGCCGAGCGCTTTGATCCTTCTGTCCCTCTATGGATCCTGCATGTTGACGGTTCGGTAAATCAGCAAGGCTGCGGAGCTGGCTTGATGTTGACTACTCCAGATGGACGTAAAGTCGAATATGCCCTCCGATTCAACTTCAGAACCTCTAACAACGAGGCAGAATATGAGGCTCTCTTGGCCGGCCTTCGGCTAGCCAAGAGTATGAGCGCAAAGCAAATCAGCATTCACAGTGACTCCCAGCTCATTGTGAATCAAATAACGGCAGACTTCGCAGTGAAGGATGCCTCCATGTCCGCCTACTTATCGACAACCCACCAACTCCTACAAAAGTTCCAGGCCTACGAGAATCAGCAGATCTCGAGGTCAGAGAATAGTCATGCCGATGCACTCTTGCGGTTGGCTTCGGCAATAAACGATAAGATCGGAAGGAAGGTGCCGGTGGAGATACTATCCCAGCCAAGCATGGCAATGGCAGAGGTATGTACCGTACAGTACGAGGACACATGGATGTCTCCAATTTATGTCTTCCTAACAAACGGAACGCTGCCCACCAACAAGTCCCAAGCTCGAAAGCTACGGTACCAATCGGCAAGATACACAGTCATCGACGATGTCCTGTACAAGCGAGGCTACACCACGCCGTATCTGAAATGCCTCACCAATGAGCAGGGGGACTACGTCCTTCGAGAAGTTCATAGTGGGGTCTGCGGTGACCATTCAGGGTCCCGGTCGCTGGCATACAAAGTCTTCCGACAGGGATATTTCTGGCCGACTTTGTACCAAGATGCAAACGTCCTAGTTAAGAAGTGCGACAAATGCCAATGGTTCAGTAGTGTCCCTCACATCCTTGTCGAGCCTCTCTTACCGATCGTAAGCCCATGACCTTTCGCTCAGTAGGGACTGGACTTGATTGGTCCGATGCCGCAAGGTAAGGGCCAGGTCAAATATGTTGTTGTCGTCGTAGACTGCTTCACCAAGTGGGTAGAGGCCGAACCCTTGGCAACGATAACGGCAGCCAAAATGGAAGATTTCATCTAGACGAACATTTGCTGCCGATTCGGAATCCCCTACGTCATCATCACCAATAACGGCAGGCAATTCGATTCGGAAGCCTTTAGGCAGTTCTGCACTCGCCTCAAGATCAATCTGTTCTTCGCTTCGCCAGCTCACCCCCAATTGAATGGTCAGGTCGAATCGAGGAACAAAATAGTCAAGAAGCTATTGAAACGGCAGCTTGACAAAGCCAAAGGAGCCTGGCCGGAGAAGCTTCCAAAGGCATTATGGGCCATCCGGACATCCTACCGAACGGCAACCAGGGAAACACCGTTCTCCATGGCCTTTGGCTTTTAAGCGGTAGACCCAGTGGAAATCAGAGAACCCTCATACCGAACAGAAACTTTCTCCCCAAAGGCGAATGAGGAGGCAATCGCCTTGAGCCTCGACCTGATCGAAGAACGCCGAGCGCAAGCCAACGTTCGGAACGAAGCTTACAAATAGCGCGTCTCTCGGTACTATGACTCCAAGGTCAGATCCCGCACTTTCCAAGTCGGAGATTGGGTCATGCGAAAAGTCTCTCTGGCAACTAAGGATCCCAGGGAAGGAACCCTCGAACCTTCCTGGGAAGGACCTTATGAGATCATCGGCATCCAGTGATCAGGAACTTATCGACTCAGGGACTCCAACGGAAAGACCCTTGGTCATCCTTGGAACGTAGAGCATTTGAAATATTATTTTAAATGAAGTCACCTAGCCTACGACAGGATAATAGTGTAGATCAGAAAGCCTTCGGCAATATCGAGTTCCCTAGCCTACGACAGGTTTTTCAATTGTAAAACGAACTCCAAATGTATCTTTGCCTTCGGCAATCATTAATGAAAAGGCCTACGGCACAAATATTCACAACCTTCGGTGTGTTAATTTAAAAAATGCGGTAGAGACCATCGGTCGCAGTATACTATATTTTAAAATCCTTTTATTAGCCTTCGGCAATTAAGGTACCACGGTATTCTTTCCTACCGATAAAATGTTAACTTGATTTTACTAAACCTGTTAACAATTGGAAGATCAAATTATTTAGCCCTCGGCAGTTAACTTGATTTTCCTACCGATAGAAGGTACACTTCAGAGTTATTTTGTTAACAGCCTTCGGCAGTTAAATCAACTTCCTACCGACTTAGGTTGCACTTGGAAGTTAGCTTGTTATTGGCCTATGGCTGATTAACTTTTATCTAGCCTTCGACATTTAAAAATTTCATAAGACAAGTTAAAGCAGAAACATGCCGAAAGTAAAACTGCTTGACAATCAACTCTGAATATTAAAACTGCTTGAATTAAAAGATGCCTCAGCATCAAGGTGTTCAGAACATATTACCTTATGACATATTACATGAAATAAAACTTAAACAAGGCTCAAGCGGCAGTCTCCTCCTCGGCATCAGGGGCAACGGGCTCTTCCGGGGCGTCTTCCCCTTCGTACTCTTCATCATCTCTTAGAGCTCAACCAGCTTTAGTTGAAAATGAGAAGAAGCTTTTGGAGAAGATATATCATTGCAGAGCGTACGAAACTTTCTGTCAAGTAGCGGCCTCCTCGGCCTCGGCATCGATAGCAGCCTCCTCGGCATCGGCAGTTGTCCCCTCGGCAGGAGCCTCTTCTGGGGCATCCTCCTCCTCGTAGTCCTTGATCATCTCTTCAGTTATGCCTTCAGGAAGAGGGGGAGGATCGGCAATAAAGTTGAGGTTGAGCTTTTGTCCGGGGTTGTACCGCTTAAACGGTAGAGTAGATCCGCCATTTCTGAGCCCACCTCCTTGTCCAGCAAGGTAGAGAACTCGGAAGACTGACGGTACCCCCGGATTGCCTCCTAGACTGCAGCCTCGATCTCCGAAGCCTTGGCCCGCTCCGACTCCTCAAAGGCCACCTGGATCGCCTCATTCACCTCCAGAGCCTCCTTTGCCGCTAGCTGCGCCGACTCCAGGGCTGCCGACATTTCACCGAGCTTGGCTTGATAAACCTTGACCTGCTATTCGGCAGCCTGCATGTCCTTCGCCAAGTTCGAATGAGCTTAGATAGCCTTGCCAGCCTCGGCAACCCTAGCCCTGTCGTCTTCATAAGCCTTCTTCGCCTTTTCGGCGGCATTGATGGCTCGATTGACGCACAACCAATGTCCATTGAAGCCTGGAGAGCAAAGAAAAATGTTAGATACGGCTGGAAACAAACGGTACAATAAACTGAGAATGGTTCGCGCTTACCGAAGCTTGAAGACAGAAGGCACGGCCAGCTTCCTCCCGAAGGAGCTTCTTCAGCAGGTCCTCGATCTCGGAGAGCTCTATTTGTGATTCGAGGATCATGTGGTTCACAAATTGTACAGTTTTTGACAAACAAGCCAGAGTGACGGGTTCGGCAGGCGACTCATCGTCTTCAGCAGCAAAGATGGCCCGAGCAGGCTCGGTCTGCAGACTGCGCTTCGGGGCTAAATCGGCATCTAGATCGACAGTGAATGGGTGCTTGTCGGTTGCTTTGGAGGAGGTGCCCTCGGTAGGTACACTTCGGCCGGGAGACGGACCGGCAACCGTCGCTCTGGCCTGCGCTGATTCAGCGTTGAGCTGACGACGACGCTCGTTGAGGGTAAGGTCTTCAAGGTCGACTCCTCCCGATGACGCTGGTACCGCTTTCGGCTGCCCGGTTTTCTTCTTCTTCCCTTGGAGGCCAAGCATAAGGCGCCGCTTGGAAGACTCGTTCATCTTCTTCGCCTCGGCAGTCCTCCTCTCTTCAATCACTACAAAATCAAGATCGGTAAGAATTCTCATTTTGGCAAGAAACTGAGTCATAGTGGACAAGTACACTTACTCTCGGCAGGATTGACAAGTTGAGCCTTGATGAGATTGGGAGTGAAGAGGAATTTCGGGTAGACTCTCTCTACGGCAGGGACCTTCAGCCTTACCCTGTCGATCTGCCAGATCTCCGATTGGGTGACGATCGGCTGCTTCAATTTGCCTAGAAAAAAAAAACGAAACGGAATTAAACTACTGAAAGACGCTACAAGCAAGAGGGCCTACCGAACGGTATGATGGCCTACCGGCTATTTGGAAGGTAGTGGGAATGTGGAAACAGGACGGGATGTCCCGATGGCGATTCCCAATCACCAGACAGAAGCACCCGCCGTTTCCTCCACGTCTTCTGGGCGGCTGGCACGGCACTGACAAAATGGCCGCGTTCGGTAGCCTTCAGGCAGTTAGCCTGAACCCAACCCTCGTGGTCGGTGGAATTAGACTTTGTGACACTGTACAGATGGGAGAACTGTTCGTATGAAGGCGCTCCCTCGCCAGCCATGCCGAAGGCAGTGACTACTCCCATTAGCGCCACCCAGAAGTTGGGGTTGAACTGGCCGGGAGCATAGCCTATCTGCGCCAACATTCTCTGAACGGCAGGCTGCAGCGGAAGCCTCACTCATTGCAAAAGTACGTCCGTGAAAAAGACGACTTCGCCATCCTTCGGCTTGCTTAGAGATTCGGTTGCTGTTGGGATCCTCATCCGAACCGAATCTGGTATGAAATACTCGGCGCGATATTTCGCGCTCTTTCTCTCAGTAGTCCTGTTGGGCTCCAAGTAATCTACGCCGAATAGGTGCTCCTTTGGAACCCCCATCGGTACCCTCGGATTGCTGGGATAGACTACCTATACCCTCAGCCCAGAAGATGGTTCGACAGCTGACTCTCTACGGCCGAAAGTGGAGGCCTCTGACTGGCGACTAGCGCTCGTCTCCCCAGGCAAGGCTTGACCAACATGGCGACCGTCGCTATAGACAATAGCTAACGGTACCGGTGGAGTCATAAGCCCCTTCCCGATGCCGTGTGAAGGTACGGAGCTGGGGCTTTCACTGAGTATCTCAACATCGGTATCACTTCCGTCCCCGACATCCGGACCTACCGCTTCATTGTCGGAGTCAAAGAGACCGTCCGATGACTCCTCACCGAACGCATTGGGCTCATGCTCAGAAAATGACTTGCTATCAGACATCTACAAAAACAAGGAAAAAGGAAACTCATGCTCATGCCGGATAATAGCCTACCGATCCCTACATCGCTACCTATGGCGACTAGACTACCAAATGGAACCCTATGGTCAGTCTAGTTCAAACCAAGGAATGACGTAACTCTAAGTTAAAAAAGAGAGTAAATTAAGGGTGCCGAATGGTACCTTATGTCAAGCTCTGGATGAGGACCACGAATTATGCTTCCAATTGCTTTGACGGAAATCGCCTTTCTTGCCGTTCGCAATGCCGAAAATCTCATGGTTTACCGTTAGCCCTAGTCAGAAATCGCTTCTAATGCCAAAAGCTCTCATTGGAAATCGCCTCAACAGAGCTCTCACTTCTCACAAAACGCAAAGTGATTTCGTCTCTAGAGTCATCCCTATTTATAGGGAGAGGGGACGCAACGGTACACCTTGAAAAACCAAACGGCGCATTAATGCGCCGCCCATCATGATTACTCTCGCCACGTGTCGTTCATCCTATGGGGGACTGACGGCACGTGAGGCACGGATGACGAAGCCCCCAGATGTCTCTTCACACGTCCACTCGACGCGACCTTCTAACTTCCTCGACGTCAGCCTCTGAAGAAAGAAGGACGGAAGAGCCAAAGTTAAGCCCCTCCACCAGCTGGGCTACCGAACGGTAGGATAACATTTCTTGCCGAAGACAATTTCAAGTCCCCTTCCGAGAACTCTCAAAAGAGAACTTGGGGGACTCCTGTTTATACACAAATGAACAGCCAATAAGCATCGGACACGTGGACCAATTTATAGCTATGGAAGCCTTCGGCACCTAACTACAGTTCGTTCCTACCGATCGCACATTAGGGCAACTCCAGCGCAAGGGGGCACG